GTGTGTGTGAGAGAGAGAGAGAGAGAGAGAGAGAGAGAGAGAGAGAGAGAGAGGTGTATCAGACAGAGAGAGAGAGAGAGATGTATGAGGAATGGGAAGGAAGAGTTAATCACAAGTGGAAAATACCTGTTTTCCAGAGGTGTATCCACTTCCTCTGCCTCCCAGGCGATCCTTTACCAGCGACCGGAGAGCACTTAAAGCGGCATCAACGATAGCATCACTCGTCCTGGACCCTGTGATGTACGAGAAAGGCAGAACGCTAAGCAACACAAATAGAACTGAATGAAGAGGCAAAGCAATGTCTGTCTACGTTTCTCAGCGACACACTCAACGGGTGCCCCGGAATCTTCCAACAAGAGGATGCAAAAAACTCTTCTAACCACTGCCCTGCTGTAGGTGGAAAACTCATAGTGGCCTCCAGGACTCAACTCATACTTAGAGGTGCTGGAGACGAGGTCTGGGAGCCGTTCATTTGAAAGATCGGCATGACCACATAGTGGAGATGGGGAGCTTCAGGTTGCCATCGGGCCCAACCACTTCTCCCCCAGGGCCCTCCCCAACTCCCCCAAAATAACATATCCTGTCTCTGATACAAGGCAGTAGGAGGCATTATATCCCTGTGACAATCTCTTCTCACTGGTCACTTATCAGAGATACTGTACATCCCGTGTCCTTTCTCTACCATGCTGCATGCATATTTTGTAAAAAAAATCACCACTGTTATCAATAGGAGCTTTTTAAGAACTTCATTTCAGCACTGAGGAAGTATTTTGGGATGGGAGATGTCACTGCTGGGGGTGGGGAGCTAATACTCCTCTTCTCTAAATACTGCAAGCCCATCCCCCAGAAATCTCCCTCTCACATGACACCCTGGCTTTGAAAAACACCCTCGGTGCCAATGGAAGCTTTTAAAAGTCATTCTGAATGCACAGATGGAGTCTGGGCAAACAGATTGGAGACCACATGTCAGCAATCATGGGGTGGTCCTGCCCACAGCTGGCATATGGCCTCTGCCATGCTTGTCTGGACTTAACCCAGCCTTCAGACTGACAAGGGTTCTTTACCCTGTCATACTCCCAGCAGCCGGATGTTGACACTGTAGCTCAGAAAACGATGAAGGCAGAGAACAGTGTATAGAACGGAGCCCTTTCCAATCAGTATTCTACAGCTCCAACCGGAGTAGACCCATGACATCAATTAATTGCATGTTACATTATCATATATGTAAATCCTAATGTGTTAATAGGGCTACTCTTGTTGGGACTAACAACAAGGTACCAGCTTTGACTTCCTCTTTACTGGACAGATCAACAAGCTTTTTTTTCCTGGAAAACTCGTTGCATAAAAAGGTCAGACACCTCAGTGTCTTTCTAAATGAGCCAAACCACACAAAGTGAAGAATGCTTGCAGTTTCAGCTAAGGTAATTATCCATTAAGCACACAAGTCAAAGCCAAGGCATTGCCAAAGCAGTAGCTGTTGGCTTGTTCTTGTAAAATCAACTAAGGGACTTGTTTTATCTTAATATCTAAAAGTTTTTTTACACAATGACCACCCTACCAGCTCCAGGCAATGCACTGCTGAACAATACCTTGATAATCTTCTGCTTTGTTCTTATTGGCACCAAATATCTTGATTGTAGGAAATCCTTTGACACCATATTGACCCCCTAGCGACTGATGCTTATCTGCATCAACTGCCCCTATTTTGACAACACCCTGTAAGCAAGGACAACTTTCAAGTTAATTAGAACTAATGAATTTAAGGAACAAGCAAAATACATTAAAAAGTGGTGGGGGGAAAGGTTTCTGTAGGGGGTGTTTTGTTGAACATGTCAACTAATTTTTGCCCAAAGTGATGTAATATCTCAGGAAGACTACTCCCAAACACATTTTCAAAATGGCTACTTTGATTTGGCCTGGTAGCTGCCTGTAGCAAAGAACTATTTGTACTTCACAGGGAAAAATAGTTTCAGTTGGTTTCACAGGTGAACAAAGTCTATATCAGAGCAAATCATATGCAACTGTTCCAGCCAAACCACAAGACTCTTATGTGGCTCCAGTTAATGTACTAAACTGGTCACAAAGGGTCTTCCAAACAAACCCGATCTCTCTTCTGTTACCTATAGATTAAATGGCTAGTATGCCATTTCAAATGCTGTGCACATCGGTAAAGTTTCATTACAGCAATAACCAACTTATCTACAAAGCCATGTTCATGGAGAGTCCCAAATTCAACTCAACTGGTTTTGGCATGCTCTACTTTTCTACACATAGGCAAGTCCCTCTCTCAGCTCAGCCTCTCTCACGGCACTTGTAAGAATACAGATAAGTATATAGTGAAGTTAAGGCTGTAATCTAATTAGGGAAATCTTTCTTGACCTATCAGAACTCATAAAATTCATTTATCAATTCTTACAATTAACATGCTTTGTTATTGCAGTCTTTGTTAAAAAAAAGTAAAGAAAATGAATTTGTTTTCAGAAAGTCTTATTTCGTGATCTCAATGAAAATACCTTTCTCAGATGTGATGCCTAATTATGAACACATTTGCACATGGATAAATTTTACTTGTACCTTTTTAAACAGTGCACTCACATGTTGCAGTTACAGCAACTTTTCAGTTAATTATATGTTTTTTTAAAGTTGTGATTCAAGCACTAGTCAGTTAAATATGATAACCCTAAGCACATGAGATAAAGGTAAAGGTAAAGGTTCCCCTTGACAATTTTTGTCCAGTCGTGCTCGACTCTAGGGGGCGGTGCTCATCCCCGTTTCCAAGCCACAGAGCCAGCGTTTTGTCCGAAGACAATCTTCCGTGGTCACATGGCCAGTGCGACTTAGACACGGAATGCTGATACCTTCCCACCGAGGTGGTCCCTATTTATCTACTTGCATTTGCATGCTTTCGAACTGCTGTTGGCAGGATAAGCACATGAGATAGAATACAACAAAAGATCCAATATCAAGATTACTAGAACAGTCAAGACTGTGCAGAAGAAAAACAAATAAACCAGTGTTTAGCAGAAAATCCTGACAAGTCTAGTTGAAGCATAACACTCCTGGTCCACTAAAGCTACTGGGACAGGCAAGTCGTAATTCTATCTATTCTGTTTTGTGTCAATGTTGGAAATTGTTATTTTATATTAGTTGTTTTTATTACATGTTTTGTGAGCCACCCAGAGTAGATTTTGTCTAAATGGGCGGCATATAAGCTCAATAAATAAATAAATAAATAAATAAAAGTACTACACTCAAGGGCTCCCTCTGTCCTGCATGCAGAGGCAGCAAGCAACCTGCCAATTAGATCACAGCTCCCCTGCAACTTTTGAACCATGAAACTATGATCTCTGTGCTTCCTACAAACCAGAAAAGCAAACCTAGTTTTACAAGGCATGCTCAAACCATGGTTTCACAGTTTGCACCTCACATAAAGGGAAGGGGATGACGCCTTCAGTTCATCTGCGCATGCACGCACAAACACACAAAAACACTCCATCTGAACTGAAGCATAAATGTTTAGCTGGTAGGTTAGCCATCTGGTGTCCACTGGGCCAAATTTCTGTCCTAAACTCCTGGAGCCACAGTCAGACGATACAGACAATCCTGACCTAGATACACTCCAAAGACCTGATACACACGAAAGACTCTTTCTTCATGGATCGCTTACTTTCAGAGCCGTTGCTGCTTTCTTCCACTCTGGTGTTAGTCTCTGGCAGTGGCCACACCTTTCAAGATTAGAAGAAAAAGAAGACAAAAGAGGAACAGAAATAAAATGCATTTATTTCAAGCTACAAACAACCCCTTCTCAAGTATCAAGCTCATCCAATTACAGTCCTTTGAGCCCTCCAAAGCCCACGTGCCCGGTTCATTAAACCATGAAAGAAACCACGACTGGATTTTACACAACCCCACTGGTTATTTCTTAATTCTCAGGGGCTTTGTGCAGTTTGATACCGGTGGGAGAACCACCCAAGCAAGAACAGTTCCCCACTGTGAAATGCACCTTCTGAAAAAGGCCCAGATCTCCCCAAGAGAAGAGCCAAAGGTGCACAACAGGCAGAAATTCGATTGGTTTGGCTCCAACACAGCATTTGCACACTGGTAGATGCAGCATCTCTGGAATTTCTGTTTGCTAAAGAATGGGAATGGGTGGGAAGATATTCTATGGCAGGAAGATCAACAAAGAATAGAGATGGGCATAAACCACCAGTTGGCTTTTTTGTCCAGCTTCCCCGCCCCGCCTCCTCTGGGCACTACTTGTGAGTGGGCACTTGCTGGAAGAGACAGGACTGGGAAGCGCTGAATACTCGTTTGAATGAAAAATGAACCAGCACAAACCACCGAACTGGCAGGTCATGCCCATCTCTAACAAGGAATCTCAAAGACTAAGACACAGACTGCGACCCACAAAAGCTTATTCCTTACAAAATGTGCCAATTCCAGCACTCAGTGACACCAAGAGGCAGACTGTCGCTTTCCTCCAAGTTAAACTGGGGAAGGAGACACCAACACCCCTTCTACAGGTTGTTTGTGTAGCCAGAAGCAGCCAGGTGTGCTCATGTACATCTTGATTGAGTTTTCTAGTCAATTCCATTACTATTCACCATTATCAAGAGCCAGGGGGCTGCTTTGACTCCTTTTACCTTCCTTTTTTGTTGCTGGAGAGAGAAAGAGGGGGAAGGCCATCTGCAGGTGATGGATTGTTTTTCCCCAATATGGTATGGGGAACTGTGTTTTGCAAGATGATCTCTTCCATGGACAATTTTCACAAGACAGTGATTTATCCCCAATTGGACCACATTAAATAGATTTCAATGCATTCCAATGGGGAACTGGTTTTCGCAAGACGATGTTTTTGCAAGACAGTGATTAGGCACCAGTGTATATACATTCAATGAACTGAATTAAATCAGTTTTCTAGTCAACCCCACTACTACCCTAACCACCAGGTGTTGCAAAATTGTAATTCAAAAATTCAAACAGACAAGAATATTTAAAGTGAGAACCTTCTATGACATGCCTGCAGTGGTGACACATTTTGAGTAGGAAAAGACGATCCAGCCAAATGTAAAAATATGCAAAAGACCAAAGGCTGCCACCCTGTATATAGCTGAGAGGTAAACATCATCATACTGAGAATGTACAAAACAGCAATTAAGATGCTGAAACAGTTTGCATAAACAAAAGCTCTGGAAATAGGCAGGCATTCCCATCTATAGGTACATGAAACACATAGGGACCGAAAAGGCTCCTTGACCACTACATCCTGCAGACGAGATGGACTCGTTGGCCATAACTATCGGTAGCCACAAGTCTGGCAACACCCATTTGGCTGCAAGAACAAATCGTTTTCGTATGACTGGAAACCTGACAGGGTCTAGCATTCCCAATCCATTAAAGGTGCTTGAACCATGCAAAGATTCTACCATTAGGTGGGGTTCTGGGATGTATATACATTCAATGAACTGAATTAAATTAATGTTAGATACAAAGCTGCTGGAGGGACCACAGACAACATCTAGGTCAGCATCATGTATTTATTGAAGCTTCTCCTCACCTCCTGTATGTAGTGAAAGTGCAGGGCTTGGATTTCTATGCCCACCAGAATTTGGGCAAATTAATTTTCTGCAATACAATTCTCACAAACGTCCAGCCAGCATGGTTGAGTCTGGTACATGTAGGCAAACATGACACAGACACTAGGAATTACACGAACCGTTCCAGCCAGACATTCTGTACCAAGACACAATGACCTCTTCATGGGCAACTGGCTAGACACAAAGAAGGTGGCAGGTATAACATTGGTACTATTTATTCACTGAAAGACATGGGTTGATTAAAACGTACCATGGAGCATAGAACTCTACTAGCCACAAGCTGTCGCTCTGAATGACTTCCCTGTTGAAGTTTGTTGGTGTTAGCTCTATAACATCGTCACTTGAAGAATACAAGCTGTTAACAGCCAGAAACAGGGTACAGCTCACAGTCCCTAGAAAAAAATCACATAAAAAAGAGAAGAAGTTAAGGAATATAAAAGATGCCTCCTCATGCACTACCAATCAGAACAGAACAAGGATGGCTTGGAGGCCACATGCCTTGCCCATATCCAGACTCTGGCACTCCCTCCCACGGGAGGCCAGCCTGGCCCCATCTTTGCCGCCCTTCCGCAAGCAGCTAAAAGACCTTCCTGTTCAGGCAGGCTTTCCTTTAAGAACTGGTGGTCTGAGAGGGAGTTTTAAATGCATAGTTGCTCTCTGTTTTAAATGTCTTTTAGTACTGATTGTATTACTGTTTTTAAGGTAACACTTATTTAATTCTTTTTAAATATTTGTATACCTTATTGTTTTTAGCATTTAAATACTGTCTTTAATGGTGTAAGCCGCCTTGCGTCTTGTTAAGAAGAAAGGTGGAATACAAATATTTTCAATCACTAAATAATTAATATCCCACCATTCCTATTAGTTTGGTGCTTCCAGTCTCTCCCCCTGCAAATGGTGTTACCAGAGCAAAAGGACAGCTTCCCGCCGGTCCACTCTGTGTGCCTTTTTTGTGAGATCAATATAGTTTCTGCATGCTAATCGCAGCTATCCACCATACCAAAGCTGGTGTCATGCAAAAGTCATAGCCATGGCTACTCTTTCATGGGCTAGGTCAGATTTTCCCCAACATGGTTCGTTGAAAGTGGGAGTCCTGCCCACAAAGCCTCTAGGGCACCCCTTGCAGGAAAGGAATTCTGTCATCTGATCACAGATAGCAGCAGCCGGATGCCCCTCCCCTCCCCCAGAGAAAGAGACATGGCAGCACTTACAGCCCCAGAGTGTCTCCTCCCCCTGTGTCTCCCCTCCCCGCCACACACACGGACAGAAGTCAAGCCAGCTGCACTCAGCAAGCTTCTACAAGGCCAGCTCAGCTTTGACTAAGTCAGACCCTGTAAGTACTGCCCTTCAGGTGCTTTGCTCCTCCGTCCATTGCCCGGAGCAGCAAAACGGGAACACGAGTGGAGTGTGCAGCCAGATTCCAAATGGAGAATCTGCAAGCAGGTCTGGCTGGGGAGCCAGCGTTGGCAGTGGATAAGATTGCCCAGTTGGCTCTCCATCTCTTCCTTGAGGTAGCCCCATCCAGGGTTGTGGATCTCCTCCAACTCCAGCTGCCCCTCTTGGCACACCTAACTAGAGACTGAACTCCATCTGCCGCAACCAAACTCAATTCCAAGTGGACACACGTGGGTGTGCTTGCATTTCGCGCTCCGTCCCATTACTCTTGGCAAAAAAGAGACCTCTCTGCTTCCAGAGATGGAAGGTGGATGCTTTTATTGCATCACGAATCACTTTACTGATATGATTGCCCAGTTTCCATCTCTTCCTTGAGGTAGCCCCATCCAGGGTTGTGGATCTCCTCCAACTCCAGCTGCCCCTCTTGGCACACCTAACTAGAGACTGAACTCCATCTGCCGCAACCAAACTCAATTCCAAGTGGACACACGTGGGTGTGCTTGCATTTCGCACTCCGCCCCATTACTCTTGGCAAAAAAGAGACCTCTCTGCTTCCAGAGATGGAAGGTGGATGCTTTTATTGCATCACGAATCACTTTACTCCTCCAACTCCAGCTGCCCCTCTTGGCACACCTAACTAGAGACTGAACTCCATCTGCCGCAACCAAACTCAATTCCAAGTGGACACACGTGGGTGTGCTTGCATTTCGCACTCCGCCCCATTACTCTTGGCAAAAAAGAGACCTCTCTGCTTCCAGAGATGGAAGGTGGATGCTTTTATTGCATCACGAATCACTTTACTGATATGATTTGGTGGCATTTTAAAACCTGCGGTTAGAACTAAAAGTTGCATTTTATTATTATGAGTAATACGCCTATTCTTTTTAAAAGAATAAACAGTAGTAAAACATGCCCCTTAGGAATCCCAGTCATACAGGATCCACTATGGGGCCACTTTTATCTACTGCAACCAAAGCAGTAGCGTGTGGAATTCAAGAGTGTTCCACATCTATAGCATAGAACAGCGGTCCCCATGCCCCTTAGGAACCCCAGTCATATAGGCTCCACTATGGGGCCACTTTTATCTACTGCAACCAAAGCAGTAGCGTGTGGAATTCAAGAGTGTTCCACATCTATAGCATAGAACAGCGGTCCCCGACCTTTTTTGGTCCGCGGACTGGCTGGGGAAGGTGGGGCACCCCGCGCTCGTCCGCATGCACACAAAAAGCACACACGCTCTCTTGCATGAGCACACGCCTGTGCGCATGCGCAAGCAGCAGCACGGCGCTCACACGGGCGTGCTGGAGCATGCACCGCATGCACAAAAAATGCACACACTCTCTTTTGCATGAGCACACGCCTGTGCACATGCGCAAGCAGCAGCGCGGCGCTCACATCGGCGTGCTGGAGCATGCACACAGGCGCAAATGGGCTGTGCGGGGGTGAGTGTGTGCGGGGGTGGAGCGGGAGTTCTGTCTTGGCGGCCCGGTCCAGCTCAGGCCACAGACTGTCATCGGGCCATGGACCGGGGGTTGGCATAGAATACATGCATCCAAAGTAGCCTATGTGAGAAGACTGTTAGGCGTGCCAATGCACCACACTTAACAACTTGGTAGAATATAGCTGTGTGACCAGAATGCCTGGCTAATGCAATTAACAGAATACGCCACCCTCAAGCTGTACTGATGATTCATCCCAACAAACATTGGTCCCATTCCCAGCACAAGCACAGCTGATGGGGACCTGGGAGAGGGCCTTCTCGGTGGCAGCTCCCAGGTTATGGAACAGAGGCTCTCCCTCGGGAGATCAGAATGGCCCCCTTCCCTGTTATCCTTCCGAAAAAAGCTGAAGACCCATCTCTTCAGGCAGGCTTTTAACAATTAGTACAACTGAATCCCTGAACCCCATTTTCACATAGAATTCTAATCTTTTTTATGTTTTAATCTTTTAATTGTATCTTAAATCATACATTGTTTAATTTATCTTTTAATATTTAACATGTGTTTTTAAATTGTGTGACTTTTAATGTTGTGAGCCGCTTTGGGTCCCTTGTTGGGAGAAATGTGGCATATAAATAAAACTATAATAATACTACTAATAATACACCCCCTACAGAAGCCACTGCATTGAAATATCAGAGGAGTCATTTTTTTCCTGCCAGAGTTTTTCACAGATCAGAACCCACTGTAAGATATTTTCCCCAAGGGACCTGGCATTTTGCATGCAGTTACTATCGACAAACTAAGTCCCAGAAAGTTATAGGATGACAACTATCTGACTTATATCCATCCTAGATTGCCAGTTGTTTGCGTTAACATAGGAACTGGGTTCCTTATAAAAATAATCTACTCCCAGCTTGGAAAATACTAGGTCAATCCCCCGACCCTCTTAAACTGACTTCTCACCCCTGAGAAGGCATGCTCCATGTTCCTTTCGGTGCACTTTCCTTAGCAAGGCCAAGAGCAAAGAAAGGGAATCTCTCGCCAAGTCCTCTGCCCTGCAAACCAGTGTAAGGAGAATCCTAGGGACCAGGGTTGCTCCACCTCCCTTTATGCTGCATAGGGGGAAAAGTCACTTCATCCAGGGCCCCACTGATGTGGGCGGCGCAACCATACACCAGATCTCACCTGGCCCACAGAGGGATGGGCAAAGATCTGCTTCTCATATGCTTCCAGTAATCTATCCTTCTCTAAACAATGATCACTGACTTAGAAACCAGATGATTTAAATTCCGGCACTTCTGAAAAGCCCTACCTTTGCACTGTCTGTGAATAAAAAGGCTAGAAGAGATGTCAGCATGAATGGATTACTCAAAAGGAAGTCTCACTGCCTTCAGCAGGAGCCATACTTAAAAGAAGGTAAGAAGAACGAAACAGGATCCGACTCAAGGTTTAACAAGGGGAGAATTCTGTTCAGATAGCAGCCAACCTCTTGCCCACCGGTGGCCTATACCACTTGAACCAGCCATTACTGATAACTCACTACTTCTGGGTTTGCTTTCCTCTCTTTTGCCACCATCTTCTGAATTAGATGACTTTTTCAGTTTTAGGAACAGCTTTTTTTCCCTGTTTGATATTTCAATTGATGCCTATCATTGACTTTTATCTTATGCCTTATATTGCTCTGTTTGCAAACCACCCCAAGTAGTGAGTGGCTTAGCGACAGATGGGCAGGACAATAGTCTAATAAACAGAGGAATCGATAATCCTAAATTCTTAAGTTAGTTTTCAACAAAGGACAATGTTTTTGCCAAATGATAACCAGAACCGATACCCTATGCTAAGAGCCACTACCAATATTAAAAACTGCCAATCTGTCTGGCCTCAGTTTTAAAGCCACTGAAGCCAATGGCCATCTCTACATCTTGTGGCAGTGAATTCCACAGCTTAATTCCCCCCCCCTTTTATCTCTCTGGATCCTTTAACCATTCATCTCCAGCAGATGATCCCCCAGGAACTGCACCGATTCCTCAGACAGACAGCGGGATGTGGCGGTTTTAGTGATGGGCCAGATTTAGATCCTTCCTTCTCCACAAACCTGAGAATGGGGTTATAGCCCCCCCCACCTGCTCAGCCGAGGCTCCCTCACTGGACCGCCACCAAGCAGGCAGGGAGGGCCAAGGGGACCGGGGGGGGGCTCCCTCTCTCTCTCCGCCACCCGGAGGAGCCCCGGGCAGAACCAGCAGATTTGGGACAAGTCCGACCTACTGGGACCCCCTTCAGCAACAGAGACATCGCACCCCCCCAAAAAAAGACGCCCCCCTCCTGCGCCCATCCAAGCGTCGCGTGCAAACGGCCGGATCCCTCTTCAGATCCCCCCCTTAAGAAACCACAACTTCCAGGCCAGCAGATCCACTAGGATCTTCAAAGCATTTTTTTTTAAAAAAAGAATCTTCCTATATCAGCCAAATCGTTTTTTTTAGTCTGGCCACTAAGTCCGCTTTCTCCCGCCGCCCCCCCACCCCACTCGGCCTGAGTTCCTCCCCCAGCTCGATCACCCGCCTTACCCAGCCAAAGCCCCTTCCGGCCGGATGCCCCCATGCCGCCCCTCCGAATCGCGCCGCCACTCGCTCTCCGACTTCAACCCCTCCCGCTTTCCGCTCTCGCTCTTCTACCCCACCGGCCCCTCCGGCGACCCAGTCCAATGTGCCGGCGATCCCAGCCGTGGCCGCCGCTCATTGGAGCGCCCGCCCCGTCCTCGGGTTTGCCTGGCCAATGAGAATCGGACGGATCATGCCCGGAGCCGGGCGTGCCAACGTTCGAAAGGGAGGAGTCAAATTCCGCCTGAGCTCCGGGGGTGGGGAGGAGGGGTCTCTCTTTTTTTTCGGAGGGAGAGGCGGGGCCGGCGTGACGCAAACGCCCTCCTCCTGGTCGAGCATCCGCCGGGAGTTGGGTCGTCCGGTTGCTCCCTGAGTGTAGAGGAAATTGGAGGGCCTGGTGGGCGGGGCGGTGGGCGGGGCATATTCTGACTTTAGAGCGGCCCCCGCGCAGGATAGACTCTCTTGCGCGTCGTCTCCTGGGTCGAAGCAGAGCTGTGCGTCTTCTGCGTTTCCTCTCTTTTTAGGTCTTGCGCGGAGTCTCCTGAGCCGAAGCAGGACTCTGCGTCTTCTGCGTTTCCTCTCTTTTTAGGATCACTTTGGCTTGTGTTCATTTCCCTTCGTACTTCATGGATCACCCTTTCAATCTTGAGATATTCTGATACGAAGTAAAGATGATTGGTCCTAACAACCCAGGATTTCTCGTTGGCTGGGCAGTAGTCAAAAGCATGGGGATTGTTCTGGAGCCTTTTATATTTCATTTAATTATTTATTAAGGGGGAAAAATAATAATAAAACAAGCCACAAGTAAAGTGTGAACCTCATCTCATTTCATTCGCTTTTTCCACCCTATCATCATCATCTTAGAACTTCAGAGCCAGAAGGGAGGCTATGGATCTTGTCCCAATAGCTGTTCCAGCAACTGCATTCTGAAAGTAAATTGGAAGCTCTGTCTGGTGTTATTTATTTAAATATCTAGGTGGATTGGCCGTGTTAGTCTTGCAGTGAAGAATCTTGTAGTCCTTTCGAGACTTAACATCACTGATGTACATGAATTTCGCTGTGGCCCACAAAATTTTACACCAAATAAAGGTATAAGTTTTAAGATGCCACAGGACTGTGGTTTCTGACCAAAGAAGCTCCCAGAGGCAAAAAAGAGCAAAACATTGTGCCCTCAGGCTTGGGTGGCGGCAGAATTTTAACATTTATTCAGCATCGCTGTGGCTACCATTTTGTTACTAAAATGTCTAACAAGGGAACCATTCACCAGTTTTTCCCAGCGATGAAGACTGGGTTATGAGCATTTGTACGTCTCTATTCACACATATTTTAAATAAGTTCTTTATAAGAACAAATGGTATGTGCTTCATTATTGTGCCCTGGCAAAGAATAATACTGGTCAAACTAACAACAACAACAAAGCCATTATCTTTATATCCTTGTGCTGTTCTTTACAAATCTCTTTAAACTTTCCAGGTGTTAAATAATGATTATGAAGATGACTATAATAAGAATATAAGAATAAAGGTTCAGCCAGAAGCCATGGAGTACTGCAAATACAGCAAGTAGCAGAGGAGGAAAAAAAGAAGCCTAAATGATTATATCAGTACAAGCAGAAAAAATTACTTAAGGCAATGAAAATGGAGAATACTGTATTTTGAAAACAACAGAAACAAAGGTTCAATATAAGAAAAAACTATTTGAAAATAAATCAAACAACTGAAAAAACAAACCACTACAAAGGCAACACCTGAGAAATCTTGATCAAAAGCATGCCAATAATTCAACATGGGCATGGCATGCCATCTTTTCCACCCTTATATTGAATATTCTCCTTTTCTCTCCAACTTGAATTTTAAGTGACTCTGCAATCTTCTTCCCCCCAACCCCACCCTCATCTTTGCCCAGGCCTGGTGTCTGTTTTCTGTCTCCTAAGAAATTTTTACAACAGAGCCCTGCAACAACAGAAACCATAAATTACTGCATGTAAATGTACCATGCACCCAAGAGCCAATGAATATTTAGTATGACACTGATACTTAGTTCAACATTTTATTCTGTTTTCATATGTCTGATGAAGTGGACGTGCCCACATTAAAATACAATGGTTAGTCTTGGAGATGCCACGTTTTTGTCTTTTTAGCTTTGTTTTGTTTCTTTGGATTTTGCCTCTAATTATTGGGAATAACGCTATTTCAGTAACAAAAATGTGCTTAGAAATTATTATTGGTTGTTTTATTTTGGTTTTGTAACTGTAGGATTTCTCAATAGTTTTATCACATATACTCCAATTTCCTTAACTGAGAAAGATCCACCTGGAAGTAATCTGTCTTTGTTGCTTGCAAATGGAAAACAGAAAACTTGAGGGCCTTGTTTGCACAATATTTTAAGTTTGAGTTACCTTGAATAGTCTGCATGGACAGCTTTTCCTGAGGGCCTTTCCTGGCTTTTTCTGCCCCAGTTTAAAGGGGCAGAAAAGCAGCTTGTGATTTCTTCTGCAGTTCCAAACTGAGGTGAAGTGAGAAGAGAATGTTCATTCTCACCTGGAGTTTGCTGGAAAAGAAAAATCTTTCAAAGGATAGGAGACCCACTTAAGATTACCCACCCCGAGTGACATACAGGATGTTCCAATAGTTTTGTCTGACTTTATATGATACTAACATTCCTCTCATGTGCCTGACTTGCTACTGGAACAAAAACCTAGCTTGACCTATTTACTTAGTTTCACCCCAAGCTTGAAGACGTTTCCTTTTTTGGACTGCAGCTCCAAGAATCCTTGGGCCAGCATGGCTAATGGCCATGATTTCGAAACTGAGTTTAATTTTTGTAGCTCTACAAAGGCGTGTCTCTTATTTTTAATGTCAAAGATTCACATAGCTTTCTTTTAAATGTAAAATATTGTACACTGTGGATTGGAGGGGGCAAACACATTGTTATGTGTACGGTTGCCAAAGTTCCTAGAAATTGTAACACGTGGCATTTGGAGCCAGAAAGATCCTTATTGCCTGCAAGTACACATAGTCTCTGGCAGATTTTCTACAGCACAAGGTGCAAAAAGTGGCTTGTCCTTTCTTGCATCAACAGAAAACACAGAAAGAAAGCAGCGCCTAATTACAAGAGAGGTTGCATTTTTTTTTGGCATGGTGTTTAAACAAACATTTGTATTTCTTCTGAAGAACTGACAGATTTGAAAGTGCTTCAGAGATCAGATTATGTCCTAACAGTTTGTGAGCAACAGCTTGCAACACTGATCTCCACAACTGGGGTCTGTAGCGGATCAGTAGGTTTCTTCTCATGCACTGGACCACCGTGACAGAATCGGCCTTCTCTGTGCTCTGGTGTGGAATTATGGGCCTTCTGCAGCTCTCAGCTTTGGTGAATATATTCTGGCCCCACAAAAGACTCCATGGGGCATGTAATCCCTGGTCCTGTGTGGCAGTGGCTCCTACACAGGGGCTGTCGATATTCTGAGAAAATGTCTTTCAGAGGAAGCCCTAGCCACCACTGTCAAGCTTGGGAACGATTGCCCTTTGCCATATTCAAAAGAGCCCATAGCACCTCCCAGTCCAGCCACCATGTAAGGAAGACCTTGTAATTGAGAGATAGAGAACGGAAGTGAGACCCACAAATAGCTGATTACACAGTGATTGTAGGTAAATAGAGAATGATTTAAAGCAATTTCTACAGCAGAAGCCTCACAGCAAAACTAACCAATATTATGTTGGCATCCTAAAAATTATCTATCATGGCATAAGTTTTCATGGACTAGAAGCCACTTCGTTTGATACAGGAAGTGTTATTCTGGGCTGGAGCAATGTGTATAAATGATCAGTGGAGAAATTAATTGGGGAGATCAGAAAAGAACAAAATGCTGAAAAGAGAGGTAGTAATAATTTCTTTATTAACAGTGGCTATTCACAAATAATTATATTGTGATTCTATCATATATCACTTGACAGACCCTGATCTGCAGAAACGTGTTGGATATCTCACCTATTTAAAGTAAAATGCATGGCTATCCTACATCAGTTATGAATCAATATCGCTGACTGGACCATCATCCATAACCAAATCAGACACAGACATTAAACATCATCCAAACGGGACTGGGAACCCAAAGCAAGATTTTCTTCCCACCACTGTGTAATACTGCTAATTTGGCTGTGTAAACTACAGTTCCTCTCAGCTTCTCTCATACGGATGGGGTTTGTAATATTTCAGCATGTCTCTATCCCAACCAAAAAGGAGAGTTGTGTTTCAATATTTATGCAGGGAGGGGTGTGTGTGCTGAATCACTGGTTCTTAACCTTGGGTTAAAAGCAAGATTTTCTTCCCACCACTGTGTAATACTGCTAATTTGGCTGTGTAAACTACAGTTCCTCTCAGCTTCTCTCATACGGATGGGGTTTGTAATATTTCAGCATGTCTCTATCCCAACCAAAAAGGAGAGTTGTGTTTCAATATTTATGCAGGGAGGGGTGTGTGTGCTGAATCACTGGTTCTTAACCTTGGGTTACTTGGAGAGTTGTGTTTCAATATTTATGCGGGGAGGGGTGTGCATGCTGAATGACCAGCAACCCTTTATTTAACAAGATTGGGGGAGACATTCTCATTCACACCACCAAAGATGGAATCTGAAACCTATACCTCTGACTTGAATCAGCAGCTGCCATTTTGAAACTTACTTTTAACAAGAATGACCGGCAACCCTTTATTTAACAAGATTGGGGAGACATTCTCATCCACACCACCAAAGATGGAATCTGAAACCTATACCTCTGACTTGAATCAGCAGCTGCCATTTTGAAACTTACTTTTAACAAAGAGCACTGGCAAGCACATCTGCCTATGATTTTTGGAACATTAATGTTATTCCCTTCAGCATTGTCAAGATTTGAGGTGTGGAGATGGTTCAGAGACAAGTCAGTCTTCCAGGATGACAGCAAAGAGACTCACAGAGACAATAGGTTCCCTCACCAGCAGCAGTGTATTTGCAGACTATGCACAATGGAACGATGTACATCAGTCAACAGACTCAGTAATACACTTTCTGCTCCATACTGCACCACATTGTGTAGCACTTACATAGTTTGAACAACCCATCACTGGGCACA